GACAGAAGAAAAGTTCTGTGTAACTGAAAAAACAAAAAACAAAAAACTTTCCCAGAGCCCTGAATACCAGCCGCGGTTGACACACAACATGGCAAAGAGCTGCCTTGTTGCCTGGCAGTGCTGACAGCCAACTAATGTGTCTGACCGTCTGTTTGGGACCTCCTAGCCTGAGATTCTGGTTGCTTCATCCTGATTGCTTCCTGAACCTCTTCTCAGTCTCCCCACCTTTGGTACCACCCTCCCTCGGGGGAGTGCCAGGCTGTGCCTGGTTGCGCCAGGCTGGGCCGGGCCCCACAGGATACAGCCACCCAGCCGGGGCTATTCTTGTCTGTGTCTCTTTGCAAGATGCCTGTTGTTCTCAGTCGCTGTTTTTCCCATCATAACTGTGGACTTGGCGGGGGGCCCGTGTGAAAGGCCTGGTGGGAGAGCTCTGCCCCAGGAAACGCGGCTGCTCCCAAGTGCCAGGCTGAGGAAGCAGGTTCTCAGACAGCCGCTCAGGGGCCACCTGAGTGGATGCTGCCGGATGACAGCCCCGCTTGGGTCCGGCACCCTTTTGCAGAGCGCCGGCGCCTGCCAGCATGCTATCGTGGAACAAGCCTGCGCGAACCATAGTGGCCCTGCGAGGTGCCGCTGGGGCGGGCTGGCTGGCGTTGCTCTTCTGTGTGTGTCCTCCCCTAGCCCCACTTTCTAGGAATTCTAATCTGTGTCAGGCCAGAGAACATTCCTCTTGGGCCCTACCCCAGAGCCCCAGAGCAGTGGCCTCCAGACTTTTAAAATCACACACCCCTGGCAGTAAAATGTTGGTGCGTATACTCCTCATTTGCATACTTACAAATGGTATGCATGCGCTGCTATGTAATGTGTACATTAGAAACATATAGGCAAAGGAAATCTTAATAATTTATGTAATTTTAAAGGACGGAAGAAAAAGGGAAAAATTAGAAATTTGCTTTTAATCTGGTTTAATTGAAGGTAGAGGTCATTGAATATACTCTTTAAACAAAATTAAATCTTGTTCCTCACTCTCTGATTCCGTGATTCCAAGGTACGTCCCAAGCAGAGTGCATTTCGGTACTTCATTGTAAGGTTCCTTCGCTGGAAACGGACTTTCAAAGAAAGGGCGATTCCGTGGACCATGTGTAGAGTCGTTGTGCTTACCAACCCTGACCCCATTTTCCAGCCCATCCACCAGTTACACAAAGGCCTTGGCTGAACTTTGCAGTTGCTCTTGCGGTTTGTAACAAGGCTGCAAACCCCTCCGAAGCTCTTTGTTTGGAATTCTTGTAAATAGATAAGGAAATTGTTTATAATTCCTAATTATACAACTATAGGAGTACAGTGTAGAGGTACAGGAAACCTTAGAGATGGCTATTCTTTAAAATTTTATTGGATTTTTAGTTTTTATTTATCTAAGTGGATTTTCAAAAATGATTTTAATTCTATACACAGTAAAATTATAGTCCTGTGAGTGTTGACAAATACATACTCTTGTAACCATTCTCACAAGCCAGAACAGTCTCACCACCCCATCAGCCCTTTGTGGACCAATTCTCCCCTGTTCCATAGCCTTTGGCAACCGCTGGTCACCTCAGCCCAGTGCACTTCAGGTTCATCCACGTTGCTCCGTGTATCCGTAGTCAGATACGTGATTTTCAGATATTTCCTCCCAGTCTGTCTTATTTTTTTTTATTCTCTTACGAGTATCTTTTTCAGAGCAAATGTTAAAATTTTTTATGAAGTTCAATTTGGCAGGTTTTAAAAATTATGTTCCTGTTGAAGTATCTTAAGAAATCTTTTCTAACATTAAGTAACAAAGATTTTCTCCTTCATTTTCTTCTAAATATTGTCCATTTTGAATTAATTTGTGCATAGGCATTTCCATTGTAGACTACAAAGATCACACAAAATGAAAATACTGCCAAATGCCAGTTCTCTTCATAACAAAAGTTTCTTTTGAAAAGGAATTATATTTCCATTCCCTGTTAAAATGTCACCTTTACTTTGAAGGGACAGATTTAGTGTGTTTATGTTTTTGGAAAATCTGGCAAAATAGCCTACTTTTTACCACAAAAGGCAGCTAGTTTGGAATGCTCGTCTTTTTGCAAAAGAAAAATGTATAACTTATATTTACGTTTTTAAGATTTTTTTTATGTAAATGAGCCTCTTTGTGGTCCTTTATCTCATTACAAAAAATTACAAGGAGCCTGCTGTTTCAAGATCTGCTTTTATGAGCACAGTCTCCTTATTGGCATCCCAGAGCACAGAAATAGTGGTATTCACGATGTGCTGAAAGCAAAGGCAGAAGAGTATCCCCCCCCCAAAAAACAACACGCACACAGCGAGAACCCCATACTTCCTGTTAGATACCTGTACACATGACACATACTAGCCCAGGAAGATCCCAGAGGCAATCCATGTCTTATGACTGTTGAGCGAAACTTTTAAAGATGAAAGAGAATAGATAAAATGTCCAGTATTCTTGTCCTACTCTGGGGGGTTGTCTGGTGTACCTTCTGGGGATACCGCTGCCCTGGAGTGTCTTAGAAATCTGCCTGGCTTCCTGTTTTCCACTTGTGCCAAACAGATAATGGGTGACCTGTGAGTGTGGGAGAAACAGATGACTTTTCCTGTCATAAATGGTAAAGCTGTGGTGCCGTTTTCCTGCCTGCTTTCTTCTAGAATTTATTTTCCCATCAGCACCTTCGTCTAAGCTCTGAACTTAAAGGTCTTGACAAATGTTTTTTGCTTTATTTGTATTATTGATTTCAGAGAGGAAGGCAGAGGGGGAGAGAGAGCTAGAAACATCAAGGATGAGAATCATTGATCGGCTGCCTCCTGCACGCCCCCTACTAGGAATCGAGCCCACAACCCAGGCGTGTGCCCCTGACTGGAATCTAACCCAGGACCCTTCAGCCTGCAGGCCAATGCGCTATCCACTGAGCCAAACCAGCTAGGGCTTGACAAATGTTTTTTAGAGGATGACGCTCCTGATTATTCATAATGTATGGCCATTGAACTATAAGTGAATATAATTTTGGAGCTGGCAGGGGACTTGGAGGTCAGCGAATCCAAATTCGTTCTTAAAATCAAATAAAAAAATGGACAGGGAACAGGAGGCGTCCAGAACACAGGTGCCAGTGGGACACCTCTTCCTGGGGAGGTCAGAGGAAGCCGAGCAGAGACTTAGCATTGGCGGGTGAAGAGCCTCCCCCGCCACCCCCCCAGGGGCAACATTGTGGGCAAAGTTGGTGAATTGCAAGTTCCAGGAACTTCATGGGGTTGGGCCCGACTAGAGCAAAGGCTACCATGGGAAAGGAGCAGAAGAAGAGGCTGCAGACGTGGTGGGGCCAGATCCTGAGGCCCTTGCTAGCTATCCTGGCTGGGCTCAGGTGTCTCCGTGCTCTAAGGCTGAGCCAATAGGTTGGCCAGATCTGTGCTCTGTGTCCCTGGGACATCTCATCCAAACACTTCCAGGCTTCAAGGCTGTGACACTCACGTTCATGCTCAGTTCTAGTCTGAGAGCTCCTGTGTTCCTCAGGGATGTTTCAAGACCCAGGAGAGTTGGTTTAGGTTTGAGCAGCAGCTGGGGACCCAGGAGAGTTGGTTTAGGTTTGAGCAGCAGCTGGGGAACATCTGGAGCTATACCTGGGGGCAAAGGCTTCTGGTGTGTTTGTATGTTAGAGGCAACCAACGGTTCAGCTGCCCCAGAGGCAGCTTTCCCACAGGTCAAGCTTTCTGCCTTTCTCGCTGGCTGGCGGCACTGATCCCTGAAGTCCTGCGCTTCTGACAGCGACCGTCTCGTGGGCACCGATCTGCATCCGGTCTGGTTAACCAGTCACCCCCAGGTTTCTCCAGCCACTGAGTAACAGAGGTCATGGGAGAGCCCCTTTTGCGTTGGTTTGTTTTCAGAGTGGATTTCAGAGCAGACTGAGATATTTAATTCAGGGTACAACCGTCAGACCATTAAAAATGCAGGCAGCAATGCAGAACACGGCTGGCTCATGTCAGCCAGACATTTCAGGGTAACCGGAGGAGGCAAACATGGGTAGGGCCGGTGTTAGTGGGAGTAGACGCCAAATGGCATGGCAGGCCCTGGCTCCTGTTTCTCCTGTTCCCTGCCACCCTCCAGCCGGAAGAGAAGAAAACTCGTATTTAAGCTAGACGTTTAAATGGGAGTGCTGCTTAGTTGAGCACTCCTGTGACCTGGAGATCAAGTTGCTCACACCTCAAAAGGAGACGTCCCATGTAGGAGGGTTGTAAGTGTCATGGAGGTTAGACTCTACACCAGTGGTTCTCAACCTTCCTAATGCTGCGACCCTTTAATACAGTTCCTCATGTTGTGGTGACCCCCAATTTCATTGTTACAAATTGAACATAATTAAAGCATAGTGATTAATCACAAAAAACAATATGTAATTATATATGTGTTTTCCGGTGGTCTTAGGCAACCCCTATGAAAGGGTCGTTCGACCCCCAAAGGGGTCGCGACCCACAGGTTGAGAACCGCTGCTCTACACGAAGTCACAACACATGAGAAGAAGGTGGGTTTGATGGTTTCTTCTTGCTTCAGGGACTCTTCGCTGTCTCTGTAGAGTTGGACCAAGAAGGTGAGCAAAAGTACCGGTGCTGGTTTCCATGCCCTACTCGAGGAAAGCCGTGGCCAGCACACAGGACTGAAATCAAGTGGGTCTAGGAAAGGCCAGTGTGGATCAGTGACCTCAGGTGGAGCCTTATATCAGAGGATGTCAGGAGGGAATTGGGAGTTTGTGTTTTTAAATACCTTCTCACCTGGACTGCTGAACAGGGGACAGTCCTGGTGGGGGCTGGCCAGGCTCCTTAGCTCTGTCTGTTCTGCCTTCTCCTGGAATGCTAACTGGCTCACTGCTCCCTTTTTTCTTTGTCAATCCCGGAAGGTCATGATCACTGTGATTTGGGCTGGTTTTCCTGAATGTGTGGGTGAAAGAGACGTCTAACCATCGATTTGTCTTCTTGCATTTCAGTCGTTCCAAGGAAGTCAAGGACGCGCATACCTCTTTAACTCCGTGTGAGTGTCTCTCAACAGTACATCCATTGTTTGGTGCAAATTTGAGGGTTGGGGGGAAAACACAACACTCGATGATAATTAAACAGTGGACCCTGCCCTCTGTGCCACAATAAAAAACCCGTGGCATGTTGCGCTCCACAAGTGGTCACCAGTTATCTTTGGGGGATTTTTTTGGCAGCATCTTTGGCTACAAACAATATATTCCCTAGCCCCAGGCACCTCAGAGAGCTGTGGTCTCATAGGGAAGAAGCTGAAGTGCCTCTTAGAAAGCCTCTGTATGAGGGCTTCTAACCAGGTCTGAGGCATGTTGGGAAAAGGAAGGGATTGCACAGAAGACACCAGCATCTGCTGGAGGACCTAAGGCTGGAGGGAAGGCCCAGTTAGGGAAGGCCCTCCAGTCCTCCGGCAGATGCACAGTCTGCCCCAGGCCTCAGTCACTAACCGGGCAAGTCATTTAGGGCCTCTTCCCGGCAAAGGAAGGTGGAGCGCACACAAGCCGAGGAGCTGACAGTGGAAACCCTGAGTGCACAGTTGCGGTGGTGCGTGCTCTGTGGAGGAGCAGAGTGTATTTGATACCCAGGGCCTGCTCACCCTCGTGCTCAGGGCAAGACTGGGCTGTCATGTTTCACATTTCCGGCTGCAGCCAGCCCCCAGGAAGCTCCGAGGAGCTGTGCCCACGGCTGTGGACTTCACAGCGTGGCCGTCAGTTTGTCCTTTTATATCACAAGATTGAGAGCACCTCTTAGGAACATTCCAAGCAAAATCTCCACCAGCGAGACTATTTTCAGTCACCTTGTTGAATCAGAACTCGCAGACCTAAAATTCACTTCATTGGAGATGATCCACGTGGCTGTCCTTTGGGGGTGGTTATTGACTCAGTTATGGGGGGCACCCTCTTGGTGTGGGCTTCCCCCGACGCCTCTGTGCTGAGTGGATTTTTTGCTGGGAGCTCAGCTTGAGCAACTGATGCTGAATAGGTGACTGACTACCCGTTCTCTCCTTCTGTCCCTTGGCATAGAGTTAATGTGGGCTGCGGGCCTGCGGAGGAGCGAGTGTTGCTAACGGGACTGCACGCAGTCGCAGACATTTACTGTGAAAACTGCAAAACCACTCTGGGCTGGAAATATGTAAGTATTGAAAAGTTCGGTGGAGAGAGGGACGTGCAGGGGAAGCCGAGAGCCTCGCTCTAGAAGTAACCTTTCTGTGGCCTGGGGGTACTGTCTTTGACCAGACGGGAACCGGACCCCAAAGAGCAGCTCATGGCACACTCCTGTTTGCCACACGCATTTTTCCCTTTTTACTACTCATTCCCTCACACCACCCCTGAGACAGACAGACACATACACACACACCCTTTCTTTGCCTTTAAATAAATAATTACTACACTGGGACGGAGCATTTCCTGACAGCTTACTGTGTTCCAGGCATACATTATTTTATTTACTCTTCACAGTATCCTGAGAGCAGCGGTTCTCAATCTGTGGGTCGCGACCCCTTTGGGGGTCGAACGACCCTTTCACAGGGGTCGCCTAAGACCACCGGAAAATACATATATAATTACATATTGCTTTTGTGATTAATCACTATGCTTTAATTATGTTCAATTTGTAACAATGAAATTGGGGGTCACCACAACATGAGGAACTGTATTAAAGGGTCCCGGCATTAGGAAGGTTGAGAACCACTGCCCTAGAGGATAGGTCATATGTTAACCCCTATTTTTAAAAAATAAGTTTTTATTGACCCAAGAGGAAGAGAGAGATAAAAACATCGTTGAGAGAGAATCATTGATCGGCTGCCTCCTGCATGACCCCCCGCTGGAGATTGAGCCCACAACCCCTTCATGTGCCCTGACCAGGAATTGGGCTCTGACCTCCTGATTCACAGGTTGATGCTCAAACTCTGAGGCACACCAGCCGGCTTAACCCCTGTTAAGGACCAGGACACTGAGGCTTAGGGAGGTTAGTAGTACATACAATGTTATCAGCCATTACATGGCTAAATAGGATAGGGGTCCAGGTTGTGATCTGACCGCAGCGCCCATGCTTTCATGCCCCAGTCAATGCCCCCAGAGCATCTCTGGTCCTGGGCCCTGTGCTCGGCAGCATCAAGCATTGGTAGTGCATGCCCACTGTCAGCCATAGTCACGGCTGGACTTTGCCAACCGGACATTCATCCCTTCGTTGCTTAACTCAGCAAGTATTTTCCACACCTTCTCGGTTCCTAGGAAAGTCAGCAGTCCTTTGCCAGGGTGGGAGGAGGTATATGTGTTCTATGAAAATACTTGTATTGTTGTTGTTTTTACTGGGTGATCTTTCACAGTGCTTTTCTCTGCCCTTTCTGTCACTGTGGCGGAATTGGACAAATGAGTCTTCCTGTCTCTGGGAGGGCAGTTTATCCCATATAAGATCCCTTACATTCCGCCCTGTCAGCCGCCTAGGGTCATGTCACCTGCGTCAGGTAGGAGGAGCCTGCAGGAGTCCAAACTGCTGGCAAAAGGATAATGACGTGTGGATGTGGGTTTGTTGTTGTAACACATGTACCACTCTACGGGGTCTGCTGGCGGGGGAGGTTGTGTGTCTGTGGGAGCAGGAGCGTAGAGGGGAAATCTCTGTGCCTTCTGCTCCTTTTGTGCTGTGAGTCTAAAACTGTTCTGAAAATAGGACTTCTATTTAAAAAGGATGTTGAACAATGGAAGCCAGGCATAAAAGTATGCTTGCATTTAAATAAAGTTTAAAAATATGCAAATCTTGAAACCGGCTGCAGGTGGAGTCTGTAATGAGCAGCATTTGCATCTCCCTTGAAAGGTTTGGATTAGAAAGGAAAAGCCTAGACACTGTGTTTCATGGCCCCAAGGTGGTTTGGCCCGAGCTCCCTGTGGTTCCCTTGGTGGTTTCTTGGGGGGGGGGGGGGAACTGGTCTTGACCATTCGACCCCCACCCCCACCCCCCGTGTGGCCACTGGCCCTGCTGGGTGATCTGTGGGCCACGGTTCTGGATTGATTATCCAGTAACGTTCTCCCCCTTCTCTTGGCTGTCTAATTCCTTTCAGGCGGTGCTGGGTTACAGACAGAAGATAAGTCTGAGTTGGTTGGTTTTGCTCCTAAATTACTTCAGGGCAAATGACACTGCTTGACAGAGCTTTATTGAGAGGCTTTGTGTTTGTTGGGTACAAAAGAGAAGCGATGTAGTCCTTGCCCCTGGGTGTTCGCAGTCCTGGCCGGGGAGCAAAGCCACAGGTAAAGGGAGGAGATAGTGGGGCAGGTAGAATGTATGCATCCATCTCCCCAAATGTCTGTTGATCGCCTCTGTGTGCCGGGCCAGTGCTCCAGCCTTCACCCCATGATTTCTTCTGACCCGCACAGTAATCCTGTGAAGTGCTTTAATTGTCCCAGTTTTGTAAATGGGAAGTTTATCATTTTGTACATTGTAAACCGTTACGTGACGCTTCTGACACTGGGAAGCAGAGTGGAGCGCTCACGCTGGGGTGGAGTTCAGACTCCAGATGTGGTGCTCCGTCCAGTGGAGCCCAGTGGTGACATTTTGCTAATGCCCTGTGGCTTGGGGAGTGTTGATTTTTTCTGTATTTTGTTTTTGTGTGTGTGTGTGTGTGTTTTTTAAATAAGGATACACTCCCACTTTCCTAGTTTTGTTTTTTCCTCTCCCCACCCTGAACACACTACTATGGGACAATAGGTCTTATTCCTGAACCACATTCTCTGCTGTATGCACACACCTCTCTCTCTCTCTCTCTCTCTCTCTCTCTCTCTCTCTCTCTCACTCACACACACACACACACACAGAGAGAGAGAGAGAGAGAGAGAGAGAGAGAGAGAGAGAGAGAGAGAGAGATGGGGAATAATGACGTGAGGAATGTCACTGCTGAGCCCACAGCTCTTGTGTGTGGTGTTAGTGCATTCTCTGTTGGAGCCCCTCCCTCTCTACTCTGTGTAATGAGTCCTCTCAACCAAAGACTGGAGGCTGAACTCTCCTCCTGCAGCCCAGAGCCCTGAGCTCTCGGCCAGAAGAACCTCTCGGCAGTAGGATTTAGTTACTAATATGGGGACTCAGGAGGAAGAGCTGATGTCCACTGCTTCTCTGCACTGACCTTAGCCGTCCAGTGACTGCTCATCCGCCAGGATGTTTAGGTATCTATGCCTGCGAATAATAGCCCCCTGACCTCACTCCTGTGAAGGACTGCTCTCTGTGTGGGGCTTATTACAAGGTGGAAAGTCCGCAGTGCTGCGAGGTTAGTGCGGGGAGCTGCCAGGTACTCTGTACTTTGTAGTGAGCACCCCCACCCCCCACCCCCGGAGGCCTGGCAGCTGGGTGGGCTCATACAGCTCCCGTGTCTCTGGAGAAAGGCAGAGAAGGAAAAACAGATGTAACACATCTGACACAGAAACAGCAAGGTAAGAAATGAAAAGACCTGTTTGGCCTCACCATACTTCGTTTCTCTCCCTGTCTTTTCTCTAAGCCTAGCAAAGTCTAGTTTTAAATTATAACACAGACACTGTACGGACACATCCATAGGGCAGATTTATGGTTAGCGTCAGACACCAAGTTCCCCAAGACAAAATATAGGGTGGCACAGGAGCAAAGGCGTGCATTCATCGTGTCTACACAGATGAATGAAGTGCATCCATTCGTTCGGCAGTTATTTACTGAAGACCTGTTATGTGCCGAGCAGTCTTCTTGGCGCTAGGGACAGGCCCGTGAACAGAACACAGGAAATGTCTGCCTCCCATGAAGTTGATATCGTCGTAGTGGGAGACAGACCACGCACAAAATACGCGCAGGTTACAGCGCACGTTGGAAAGTGATAGACGCTGCGGGGAGAGATTGCGGTGGAAGCTCTGGTCTTAAGTCGCTGCGTATTTGGCAAGAGCCTACCGAGATGGTGACATTTGGGCAAAGACCTGAATGAGCAGAGATCCTAAGGCAATTCTGTTGTAAATGTGGAGGAAGCCCTGGGGTCGCCCCAGTGCCCTAGTGCATTGAAAGGGACACACTGTGCTTACGTGGCGGGAGTTCGGGTACAGCGGGGCAAAGGCTTCTGTGCCTGCTGTGGGCCCCGCCTTTGCTCCTGTGCCACCAACGTCACCTGCTTGTCTTTGGTCACTGAGCATCTTTTCTCTTCCTTGTGTTTCCTAGGAGCATGCCTTTGAAAGCAGCCAGAAATATAAAGAAGGGAAATACATCATTGAGCTGGCACACATGATCAAGGACAATGGCTGGGACTGAGCCGAGAGCCGCCGCCAGCCCGTGTCCGCGTGAACGCCACCCAACTGAACATTCTACCCAAGCGTGAGAGAGTGACTGGACACTTGGTTCCATCCATGTAGGGGCCTCGCCCCCTGGGGCACCCGCCCACCCCGACGCCGTCTTTCTGGTGACCGGCCTCTAAATCGCTGTCTCTCTGTCTCTTTGCTTTGTATCTGTTTGTGAGTTGATCCTGGCTTCTCTCTCTGTTCTCGTGTTGGCTGAAAACAAAACAGCAAAAGGAACAGATGCCTGACCGCATGGCGGCAGCCCACCCTGATCAGGGCCTGGGGCCCACGTGAGAGCTGCCTGACGGCCTCTGGTCGGGGGAGCAGTGCACGGCGGGGTATGAGCAAGGGGGAACCTTGAGGGTTCCGGGGTGGGCAGGGGACGGGAGGGGAGAGGTAGGGGCACAATTGTGCTACCCCTGGAGACCCGGTAACTTAGGCTTGAAGTAACCAAGTTGTCTAAAAGGACAAAGAGAAAAAAAATACCTCATGGCCGTGCTCTCTCCCATCAGAAGCTTCTGCTCCTGACACCACAGGGGCCAGGTGAGCAGGTGGGCACCAGAGTGGCCCTAATCCTAGCTGGCAGGGCAGCGGCCTGCTTCTCCTGGGCCAGGCGGGGTGTCTTGGAGGCTGTGAGTGATTGTGGGGGAAGCCCAGCTGGGTTTGGATGACTCTGGAGCCCCACCGGTCCTCTGGGTAATCTTCGTTTCCTCTTCAGCCACCAGAGGTGAGAGGAGGGGGACTGCCATTTGCAATGGGTGCAAAATCCAAACATCCCAAAGGCTGTGACCAGGAACCAGGTAAAAATCAATAATTGAGGAGAACAGGGAACAAGGAGCTGCAGTTCACAGGAGCTCCTGCAGAAATGGCTCCGATATTGGGCTCGGAAAAAACTCCATGTAAAACCAATTAGCATTTCTGCATGTCTGACCGTTTCCCTGACCCTCGGTGAAAGGAGAGAGTGCCGTGGCGAGGAACGGGGCGTGGGGGGCGAAGCTGGGAGGAGCCTAGCTTTGAACCACTGCCAGTTCGGTGCCTCCTCCTTCCGTCTCTGGTGTGCAGCAGCTTCGGGGAGGTCAGCAGTTCTCCGTACATAGAGTGTTGGGGTGATTTTCTCCAGTTCTATCATCATAGATTGTGGAAAACAAAGTCCCAAGGGTTTGAGCTTAGGGATAGCTTGAATGTGAGAGAAAACTGTCCGAATGGTCCAATAGGGGGAGGGATCAGACTTGATGTCAAATGTCAAATTTTAATATTACCCAACGTCCCCACTCCTCTCCTCCTTATCCAAGTTCATTATATTCGGTGAAGTGGAGAACAGATCCCTGAGAGAGGGAGGAGTTTGTTACATTTAATCAACACTGTGAAGTCTGTTCCACAGCAGTTTAGCCAGTACACAGCGCATGACGGAAACTCATTGAGCTGAGTTCATTTCATTGCTTGGACTGAAAATATTATTGTTCAGATATGTGTAGGTTATGTCAGGTAATCCTCAGAATCTCATTCTCCAAGTAGGCTGATCCTATAGGAATATTCACCTTAGAAATCACAAAAGAGTGTGTTCATGGAGACAAGAGTCTATAAAATTGATTAACCAAGATTCAAGCAGCCAACCCAGGATTTTTTCAGAATTGAACCAAATTCCCCTAAGGGCAGTGGTCCTCAACCTTCTGGCCCTTTAAATACAGTTCCTCATATCGTGACCCAACCATAAAATTATTTTCGTTGCTACTTCATAACTGTCATGTTGCTACTGTTATGAGTCGTAATGTAAATATCTGATATGCAGGATGGTCTTAGGCGACCCCTGTGAAAGGGTCGTTCGACTGCCAAAGGGGTGGCGCCTCACAGGTTGAGAACCGCTGCCTAGGGAATGGGTCGGCAGTTGAAATGCCTTTCTGTGTCTCTGTGTGCTGACTGCAGGATGGGGGACCTGAGATGGCGTGGTCCTGCCGGCCGAGGTGGACAGCAGGACAGAAGGTAGGGGGCTCCAGGCTCACAGTAGACTGCCTCTGTGAGACTTCTGAGTTTTAGAAATGGAACTTTGTTCCCAAAGGCTTCTCGCCCACGTCTTCGGTGCTTTAGTAGCCCTGGGAGATTTCGTTCTCCCCACATTACTGAAAAGCAGACTGAAGTTTAAAAAAAAAAAAGTATTGCATTTTTGCTCCCAGAGAAATAGTTCCTCTGGTTCCCAGGCACTCCCAGGCCCAAGATCTCAAAAAATAAATTTTTTACAACTTTCACATTCCTCAGCGGGCTTGCCAGCCCAGAAGTCATAGATTCCCTTCCAGCCCCCTGAAGGTAGTGGCCTTCAGTTACGGATTTTGATTAGCCCCCTTGCTCAGGGAATGTCCTGGCAATTGATACTCCTTCCCATAATAAGAAAACGGGGGCTAAACATGGGTAAGTGTTTTGTCTGTGAAAGTAAGAATGGAGTGTGACAACAGAGAAACCAGACATGAGGTGCCCTGGAATTTTCAAAAGAAGGAGACCGATGTGTCCCTCTTCTTCCTTGGGGGTGGGGCCTGCACGGATCAGCCCAGGCTCCAATAAGACCCTGGTTTTGGTGTTTGGGTTTTTGTTGGTTTGTTTTTTAAATTAATATTATCCATTGAGCATCCAGGGGTGGAGGGCACCATACGTGGTGCAAAAGACCTGAGTAAAATGTTGTTTTTTTCCATAAATAGAGAAAAACAAAAGCCCAACTCATTAGGCTTTCCCTTCATGTCAATGAAACCAAAAGTGCTTCTTAAACCTTCAGCTCCATTCATGGCTTGTCTGCCTAACGTCTGGTGGTGTCAGGGAGCCCTCAGCTGAGCAGTGGAGATGCATCAACGCATGGCCTCAGTCACTTCATTCTTTAATTTTCCTCACCAAATCATTGACTCAGCATAACCAAAGACCTCGTCCACTCACCCCTGGTAGGTTCAGGGAATTGGGGTTGAGGGAGTAAGGAAGGGGAGGCGAGGAGTGAGAAAGGAATCAGCCCAGAGTTCTGTGCCTCCAGCAGCTGCCTTCATTGTCCGCTGAAGTCCAGCCACAGACCCTCCAGTTCCATCCCAGGTCACATGGCCTTGGCGGCCCTGGCTGACACCCACCCCAGCCCCAGCCCATCCTTGCTGTTCGCCTCAGGCTGCTGATGGGCTGAATGGGCATGAATCAAATTCAGCCGAAGGTGAAAGTCCCAGATTGTCAGCTGGACCTGACTGAGTGGTGCCCCCACTCCGTGGACAGTAGTAAGATCAGGGACATTGGATGGAGGACATCTTTCCTGGCAGGTCAGTGTGTGAAATAGAGGCATCCCCTTTATACAAAGATTTTCAAGTGGATATATATATAAAAGAAACAGTTGCTTGTGAATATATACTTTTGTAAATAATATTTAATTTTTTAAATAATATATTTGGTGCTGTTTTCTCAGATCCCCTGAGAGCACTTTTTATTTTTCATTTTTAAATTTTATGGTTTTCTCTGCATTTCTTGAAGTATATTTTAAGGGAAACAGTGATCACCAATGTATTCTTTTTTAAAAAAAATAAAAAAAGATCTCCATCACGCTAGGCTGGAGGCAATAAAGCAATGCCTTGCTGTATTTTCCCCCATTGGAATGGACTCTACATTCGCAGGTTGAGAATCCAAGTATTTTCTTGCACCAGTATTGGCTAGAAAAGAAATAAATATAATCAAATAAATTTAGAAACAGAGTGAAACAAATCGGAAAATTGGAATCGTGTGTGTGTGTGTGTGTGTGTGTGTGTAAAGTACTTTGGATTGTGCCTCCTGTTTTTTTTTATTGGGGACATTATACCTACAGTTTACACCTTGGGCACATAAGGATTTTCCTTCTCTTTCTCTCTGGTGGGAGTTTTGTTCCTGAGTGGACCAACAGCACACACCTTGGGTCTTGTTTTCCTGAGCGTGGCACTGTTGCCGGTTTACTCCCATTTCTTTTCTTGTGTGCTCAACTTTTCCAGACCTTAAAGGAAATCTGTTTGTGAAGACCAGGCAGAGGCAGATCTGTGGTTTTCTGAGATGTGAGTGTCTGCATCACACATCCCAGGGCTCCAGTTGTAGAAGCCACATCATGGTAAAACATCAACTGGCTTGGGTTGAAAGAACAGTAAGAAAATAATGCATGTACCTTGTTGGTAAGCAGCTTTTTATTTAAAAAAAAAAAAAAAAAGATCAGATTGCCCCAGGAAGAGGCTGAGAAATCAAATCTTGAACACAGTCAACTCACATGTTTTTTAAGTCTGCCTCAAGTGAGAAAATGTGCTAATAATGGTCCAGGTAGAGGAAAGAGATGTTTAATTGTAAAAATTAAAATACAGGCATGAAATCTGCCAGTGATATAAGGTAAAGCAAGAAGAAACAAGCTATTCTCATTTTACCAAATTCTATCTGCCCATATGTTTTATATAAAATTTCAGCGAGAGTGAGAGTTCCCTTCTCCAACCTGCAGAGACGATCTTTGAATACAGAATCTATTTATGCTCGTGTTTACAAACTACATGTTGGGTTTGGGTTTTGTTACTTTCTTTTGTTTATCTTGTTGTTGTTGTTGTTGTTGTTGGCATTTTTCAGGTCACTTTGCTTTAATAACAAAGATGATTATTTTCAAATAATTTGTCTTCACCTTTTCCTGTATTTGTACATAGTGGTTCAGTATTAGAGAAAAGTGCATTGTTTCTGTCATATTTCCAATCTGTGTTGGTGCTCATTTGAGAAAATAAAGTTTTCAAATATTAATTCTCTGGAGAGCTCATCTGTCTTAATTGACCCAGCCAGTTTTGTCTTATTTAATATTTAAAGTAACTGAAAGGCCTGCGGGAGGTCACCCCACTCACAGATCTGCTGACTGAGGCGTTATTTTCTCCAAGGACGGTTTGCCCATTAATGAATAAAAATCAGGTTTTCTCCTTATCTATCTGCAAATGTTTCTCCTGGCTTCGGATATCAGAAATGCGTGAGTGACCATTATCCTTTCTGTCTACTCAGCCCATATTCTTAGCTTTTCTGTTTATACCGGTTTCCTTGGAAATAGGAATGCATTAGGTAAGCGGGTGGGGTGAGGGGACGGAAGGGGAGTACAAAAGAACGAAATTATGTCAAAAAGAGGCGGCAGGATCTCTGAATTGTCTAATCGAGTCTTCTCAGTCACCGAACACATTTATTAAACACCTTCTGTTAGATTCCAGACACAAGGTGAGGCAAGTTAACATCCTACAAATCAGCTGGTTTTGTTTTCCGAGTGCCTTACCTGCAGCCTCGTCCACAGGCACACAGTCTCCCAGAGCCAGTTGTAAGTACAGTTTTATATTCTGGTACCTTCGTGTTGCAGTGCAGACGTTTTTGCCTAGACGTCATCCATTTATATCATATTTTAAGCACTTTTTCCACAGCTTGCCTCCTTAAATCACATGGAAAGGAAATAGTAAAGCCACACAAGTGTGTGGATGTGTTTGTGTGTGTTCACATTGGTGGTACTATTTTAAGAGCCGATTCCCCATAAAATAAAAAATCCCTTCTCTACTTCCCTTGAGTTTTCACCTATCCCTCTGGGCCCAGCCGCTGTTGGCTTTTAGTTATCCTTGGGTGTGTGATTTTCCTGTGACCTGATTTGCCTCAGTGGATGTGCCTGTTATCATTTCATTCTTGTTTGCCTTTGGCAGACAGGGAGGAGAGGAGATAACGTGCAGGAGTCAACCAGTCTCAAACCAGCGATCCCTGGGTCCTCCCCCTTCCCCGCTCTTCTACCTCCAGCAGCTATCCTGTTCCAATGACACGGGGAGAAAGTGCAGAGAGCACCAGGGCCCATTGAGTGCCTGGTCTGTGCCGGACCCTGTGCTTTGCCTACAGGACCTCATTGAGGATCCTTGTGATGAGCTACTTCCTCTCATCATCCCAGGAATCCTCACCATCCTGCGGGAAAGCTGATTGGAAATTCAATGTTGAGTATTCCTGTTCTATAGATGATGAAATTGAAGTTTTGCAAGGTTTCTTTGCTAGCCACAGGGGCTTTCCCTATGCTGTATTCCCAATTTCATCCTCTTTCTTCCTCCAACCTTAACTCTAGTGAGGCTCACAGTAGGTAAGGGTTCAGGGAATGAAAGTTAGAACATTAAAGTAAACAAAGCCACCAAAGTCAGTGCTACCTGAATAAGATTGTATATTCCGTAGCTGAACATAAGTGGGGCTTTGTTGTTTTCTCATACTCTGTAATGGATTACATATGTAATCCTTGGCCCCTCGATTAATAGTAGGTACTTAATAT